TACAGGTTCGCCGGAGCGGCACAAGTGCACCGCCTCTAACGGTATCCGCGCGTACTAGGTCCGATCACACAACCAGCGGCGAGTGGAGGTGGCTAGTTGCAATAGATGCAAAGCCCTAAGGACGGCGTCGAAGCGATCAACTGAATATGTGTGCCGCACCTTCACTATTTATAGGCATCCATCGTGGGCTCAACACTTGGGCCTTGCACGGATCCTAAAGCCCAAAGTCTACTCGATCGCGTTCCAAGTCCAGCTCTGATCACATCCGACCAGTGTCCTCCAAACCGACCTCGTAGGTTCCTTCCCTTAAGCGCGCGACCCCTTAGGTTCAAGTCGGCTTGGTCACAGTTCGGATCACCTCCGACCTGCACGGTTGGTAGCGGCCTCTAGCAAGGCGTGCCGACCACCAAGCAGACTATGAAGCTGGTTAGGCAAACCTGTACAATGTGTCACACTTCTGTTCCCTTTGCCTCACGATATATGTTGTCGGGCTCAAGGCGAGACTGTTATCCTTGTGCTAGCCCGACCTCTTTCCCGTTCTAGTGATACCGACCACAAACTGGATTATCTCGTAATCCTTGTCGCATGGCCATGCTTATCCTGGTAGGATCACACGAGGGCCCAGAGTATATCTCTCCTGATCGGAGGGGCAAATCCCATCTTGCTCGACCATTTCTCACAGCATGGGTCTGGACAAATCCGAAACCTACCTTTGTAACTACCCAGTTACGGAGTAGCGTTTGGTTGGCCCAAAGCAAGTCTGTCACCATCCCGAGTACATGCGTCAGCTCAGGTCTTAGGACATAGAACGTATGTTGTTCTAGAGACTCACAGATGACATATCACTGCGTCTCATAGTTGGATCTGTCCGACTCGGACCTTATCTCGTCCATATTATCCGGTTAGCATCCAATGCTCCATGGCAAGTGAGACCGAGCAATCCACCATGTCATATGGTAGTCTAGTCCGACGTGTGCCCACAAGTCACTTGCAACTAGGGACAATTTAGGATGTATCATACAACACAAGATCTTACAGACAAGTCACATACTTTTTTTTGAGAATCACCGGGGGGTAGCTCCCCACCTGAATATATTGCTCAAAACGTCTGCCGCAACATCAGAAACAGGTTACAGGGGCACGATGCATTGTGCAGAGAGGTAGGTCCGCCACGAGAAGACGTCCTCCTTGTCCACCGTATCCACAAGACGGTGTGACCATAGATCTAAGTTAGCTATTAGGTTCCTAAGAGTTATTACAGAACATTGGTCGATGTTTCTGAAGAGCATATCATTTCTTGCAGCCCAAATAGACGAAAGGAGCGCAAGGAGGACGAGAGGCCATGCGTTGGTAGGTAAGTGTTGGGGCAGTGGCAGATCCCATAGTTCATTGAGATCTTCGTCTTGGGCATATCCCCAAGGACTATATTTATTCATAAACACATAGGAAATATCATCATACATGATTGTCTCTAGGGCATATCTCCAACACCGGCAAGTAGCAAAGTCATATAAGACCAAAGCTATGAATAGACGAGGAAAAAAGAAAATCCAAAGGGATCAGATTTGTGGCCAGTAAACTACAACAATGGACATATCTGCACCACCAATTCATGACACCACACAGATGATGGTGTTCTTGAACAGCAACGCCTTCAAGAAGGGAGTAACACTCAAGCGTCCCCGTCAACAGATCCAACCACCAAGGCTAAAATCAAGATTTTCACCCTAAAGAATCAATCTGAGCATATTCGAGCAATTCCTTTAACAAGGAAACGACAGGAAAACATCACCATTGCCAGGTATAACTACCTCGGGTCAGACCTAGACTTTTACCCCCGAGCTCTCGAAGTCACTTAAGTGATGTCACCACCATCAAAGTCACTTTAGTTTGTTGCCACCACTTTTACGCAATCCCAGCAGGTACATGTGATGTGACTATCGTCGCTTCACAACCATCCCTTTGCGTCAAGTCGATGTCCAATATTTGCATCTCACTGTCCAAGTCAACCACTGGATCTTCGTAGACGAACATTCACAATGATCTTTTGGTGACCACTGCGTCGTGAAGTCCTTGGAGGTCGGTGTAGCATAATCTGCAGCCACCCCCAATCGGACGACCAAATCTGAATCGCCATCATCAAGCCGTGGGCCATAACGCTATCGGCCGGTCACCGCCTGCGCGGAAGTCCACCACCTCATCGTCGCGGTCTACCTCAGTACAGACGCCGAAGCACACCCCATGCCACGTCATGAGCGCCAACGACCAAAGAAAGCTTTGATCCAATAGGTGGCAACGAGCTGCAGCCCACGGGGCTGCTGGCGATGTGCACAACCCAGATCGGCGCTGGGGTGCCGTCTGCGAGCATTCCATGCCAATGGCAGGCTCCGAGGTTTACTGAGCCAGTGGTGGCTACACAGGCATCGGCCACACGGGGAATCTGCCGGAGCCTAGAACACATGGGGAACGGTCATGATGGTCGATCACAAAGTCATGTGATAACATAATAATATAATTAATGTAGCCAAGGATGAAATTGTGATGTCAACGGTACAGCTACAAGTTGTAAACATGTACTGACCATCATTAGAAAGAAAGAAGAACACTTGGTATATTTGTCAGTATGATGCTACTCTTGTTAGACCGCTTGATTGCTTTATTTATAAAGCGGAGCGAAAGACTGTTTCGAGAAAGAAAAGAAGAACCGGCCAAAGGGTATCTACATTACCCGATAAAAAGGCTGACCTACACCAGCAATACGGAAAACAATATTTTGGATATCCAAATTGAGATTAACCGTTGTCTCTCCAATCTTCTGAAAGAAATTAGGAGAGCCATCTTGGACAATAAGCCACTCCCAACTTTTCTGATGCCATATATTCCCTCCGTTCGAAAATAACTGACGGTGGTTTGAAGTTGAAATCATGTTCAGTTATTTTCGAAGCGGAGGTAATATATGTAAACATTGGGAGTAGTAAATACCAGACGTGGGAATAATTAATATGATTTGCTTAAGGGAAACATTTGCGTACGGCGGACCGGCCGAGCGTTCGGCCGGTCACGCCGCGTCACGTACCTTTTGATCGCTCCACGTGGGCATCTGGGTCCATCCCACTGCCTCCCCTTATCCTTTTATATCCTTTCCTCGGTTTAGCACATCCACTCGTTCCCCAAATCTTCCTTCCCCAATCTCTCTGATTCTAATCCCCTCTCACCGCAACCACTCCTTGCCAGCCATGGTCAGCCACACCACGGCAATCTTCCCCGGTGAGCTGTCCTGCTTTGGTGCTCGCGCAGCTCCTCCCTCACCCACGAATGCAGGAGGGGCTGTGTGGTGGACTGGTGGTGCGGTGTTGCAAATGGAGAGCGCCGGCGGCTATGGGACGGGTGGTGTGGCAAGACGCTGCTGGAACAGCCATGGCGTTGACCAGACAACAATCAAGCGGCGCTGCAAACCAGCAGCCGTCGGTGATGGAGAAGACACGCTCCGGTGCTGCGACGGCTGGCTTTTTTGCTGGAAGCATGCCAGCGAAAAGCTACAACCGTATTGCCGGTGATGGAGATGGCAGGCTCCGGTGCTGCAACCGGCTAGGTTTTTGCTGAAAGCGGCCAATGAAAAAGCTACCTGCACAGCGGCCAATCGACGGTCGGCGGTGCTACAATCGGTGGTCGGCGAGCTACAATCACGCCGTTGCTGCCAATGTTGGAACCATCGAAGCAAAAAGCTGGAAGCAGCGACGCAAAAGGCTGCAACCGGCAAACGATTTTGTTACATCCATCATGGCGGACCCGCGACCCCGCGGCGACGGTGACATTTTTGCTGCAACCGTCGTCTGATTTTGCTACTATCGGCGAGGTAATTTGTTACATCCATGGTGGCGGAGCTGCGATCCCGGCGACCAAATTTCTTTTTGCTGCAACCGTCGTCTGATTTTGCTACTATCGGTGAGGTAATTTGCTACATCCATGGTGGCGAAGCTGTGACGCCGGCGACCAATTTCTTTTTTGTTGCCATCGTTAGTGTTTTTTGCTACTACCGGTGATGTATTTTGCTACATCCACTCAATGTCGTTTACTGGTGGTCGTCGGTCATAGCGAGCATCACGACGAGCGGCGGCGGCAACACATTGGGTGCCGCAACCATGGAGCGTCGACGGGGGGAGTTGCAACCGTCTGAGGTGGAGCTTGCAACTGAAAATTAACTAGCGAGAAGGTTCTCCGGCGAGCAGCAGAGGGGCTACAAGGAATAGAGGTGCAAGCGGCCGGCTGCCGGCAGCCGTTCCCCTCGCCGAGCTGCACACGAAGGCGGAGCTGTGGGGGCAGCGGCGTGGGGATTTTTTTGGGATTCGTTGGGAAGAAGAAGACGGGTCTAAGGGAATATTAGATTCGGGGCGAATAATGTTTTTTGGATGGCTGTACTGTACCAGATCCAACGGCTGGGGCCGGACCGGCCGAACCTAGCGCCGGTCCGCCGGCGCCTAGTACTGGCCTTTGCTTAAGCTGAATCCTGACCTTATTCGGTTGGAGCGTGTACGGTTATTAACTACACGTACGCAGCTGCTTACTCCGATGAGCCAGTTGACGTTTGACTTTTCTCGGCCAGATTATTCTGGCTACCACAGTCACACACCTCCCCTTCCAGCTTCTCTCTGACAATCTGGCCCGACAACGAAGTCAGCCTCCTCCTCGGCTGAACGAACGTAGCCACGCACGTACGTCAGCGCGCGCGTCGCAGTCCATCCACTGCCCAAGACCATCGAGAAGCAGCGAGGCTCCGCGTCCACACGTTTTCCTCCTGTGCTGAAAATGGGAAGATCAACGACGGATATCCATCCTCCTGGCGCCGCTCTGTCAACGACATCCGCACCGCGTTGCTGTCGATGTTGCCAGGGTGGTATATAAGCGCCTCCATGCCTCCATCCGCCAGCAACTCCCGCCTCACTTCAAACGCTCCACTCTCCAAGCTTTTGGGTCTCTCTCTACGCCCAGGACACATAGCCATGGCCATGGCCACTGCGAACCAGGACGGCGCCGCGACGTTCCACGACCATCGCGGAGGTACAGCAGCGACGGAGCTCCACGGCCGGACGATCTCCTCCGAGCAGGAGCACGGCATCATCGTCGCCGCGCTGCGGCACGTCGTGTCCGGGTACACCACGGCGCCGCCGGAGGTCGTCGTCGCCGTGGCGTGCGGGCGGTGCGGCATCGACGGCTGCCTCGGGTGCGACTTCTTCGGGGCCACCGAGCCGGAGGCGGTGGCGGTGGCCGTACCCGTGGGAGGGGTGCAGAGGAAGCGGCGGAGGAAGAAGAACGTCTATCGCGGCGTGCGGCAGCGGCCGTGGGGCAAGTGGGCGGCGGAGATCCGCGACCCGCGCCGCGCGGTGCGCAAGTGGCTCGGGACCTTCGACACCGCCGAGGATGCCGCGCGGGCGTACGACCTCGCCGCGCTCGAGTTCCGCGGCCCACGAGCCAGGCTCAACTTCCCGTGCTCCGACGAGCCTCTGCCTGGACACGGGAGCGACAATGGTGGCGGTGGCACTGGCGCGGCGCCGCAGAACGAGACTCTGACGACGCCGTCGCCGTGCAGCACGGACGCCGGCCAGAGGACGCCGGGAGAATGGCAGCTGGGTGCGGACGGAGCCGGCGACCAGGTGTGGGAAGGCTTGCAGGATCTCATGACGATAGATGGACAGGACCCATGGTTCGCGCCATTTTCGAGTCCAGCATAAGTGTATCTGGAATCTTTGTATAGAATTAGTGGTTACTGATAATGATAGATACCAGCTGTTAGAATAGACTAACCGAGAACCGTAGTAGTGATTTGTTCGTTCAATTTGTTGAGACAAAGCATTGCTAGCACAGAGTCGTTACATTTGTTAAGCATCACGAAGTTGTCTCTGTTTACTAACGATTGTACTGTTTTATCACCTGAATTAAGAAACGAACGCACGGTGTTATATCATGGGTTGTGCGAAAAACCTGCCACTCAAATGGTAACTCGTGAAAAGAATGAGGCCACTCAAATGTGTATCATGTTGTCTCATATGAAAATACATGTCTTCTCAGAATACAATAAACAAACAAACTAGACATATATCACATGTATCAAACTGTTTCTTTTTAGTGGTAATATTTAAGGACGTGAATAACTCTAGATTTAGGGCCTGTTCTGAAGTCCCCGCTCCACGCTTCACAAACTTCTCGTGCCGAGCCGATTCAAACGATCTAGCTCCATGAAGCTAGCTTCGGGAAGCTGTGGTCGATCGTAGTGCAAAAACCTGGAGCGAGGAAGGCCCAAGACCACTGGTGTTGGCTATGTGCATCCTAACTGTGCAGAGGCCGAGCGTGTGCTCACTGTGTTATGTATCTTCTTGATGCTCCATTTTGAGTCAATAAAATTCACCCTTTGTCGGAGAAAAAAAACACCACTGGAACGAGAATCTGGAGTGAAAAGGATTCATCCCCTCGCCAACCACGTATCGCTACGAATCGGTACCGCATCTCCCCTCGACGGCGGTCGGACGCTGGTTCCAGCCAGCCCAATATGGTGCTAGACAGTCCAGGAACCGCTGCCAGGTGGAGAAGCTGATTTAGCTGTCGAACCGAAGGAAATCGCTGCATGGAGTGAGAAGCTACGATGAAAAACCGGATCTGTAAAGTTTTGTGAACCTATGGGTGAATAGCTCCCATGCGACGTCGTTGGTGTGAATTGTCTCTGATGCGACGTAGTTGGTTGTAATAGCTCGCATGCGACATCTGTGTTGGAAAAATAGCTTCCATGCGACACTGCTGCCTAATCCAAAGACACATGTTTAAAACTCGAATCAGGTGAGCGGGACCCACAGCGTGGGACCCACTAACTTATCCAACTCAGCATTGGTCAGGTGAGCAGGACCCACAGCGTGGGACCCACTAACTTATCCAGGTCAGCATTGGTACAAGAGGACACCGAGCCGTGCCCCGAGCCGTGCAGCACCCGAGCCCATCCTCCCCCCCTCCCCGACGGGCGCCCCTCCCCGACCGTTGTTGTTCTTCTTCTCCGGCGACGACGGGCAGCAACGCCGTTCCGGGCCGCGACCTGACAATGTCGAGCTCCGCTTCAGCCTCCCGCCGCTCATGGCCGCGCTATGGCGCAGTGCCCATGACAAGGTGCCCTGCATGCCCACGTATCGCACCCCTGAAGCGGCTAGTCACAACAACCGACAAGAATGGCAACCTTGGGCGGGAATTCGTGAAATGCGAGAGCAAACCAGAGCAGGAAAAGGTGAGATTTTACTTCTCAATGTGCCAATTTTGGTTTTTGTCTCCCAATTTCAAATTTGCCCATTTTTCCCCATCGGATTTGGGATTTAGGGTTCATCTTTCCTATTTCAGAAATTGAAGCAATGCACCCATTTTGAGTGGCTAGATGAGTACATAGAGCGGATTCAACTGGAGGGTGCATCAGGGGAGCTTGATTTACCGTTGGAGGCGGAGAAGTTGGGCAAGTTTGGATCGGGCGCATCTGGATCTGGCAATTCCATTGCGGGCGCCCGCCCTTCCATGGGTGCTACTGTGGGGGATGCAGGAGTGACGGCAGAGCTGAAGAAGCTGAACAAGCAGATGAAGAAACTCATCGAATTGCAGAAGCAGGGCAATTTGAGGGCCGTACTTTTTTATGTTTGTGTGATTGCTCTCGCATTTGTTTATGTGATGATAATTAGTCGTAAGTGAATAGATTGGGCATCATTTGTAATCGTAATGATATGTACATTTGAATAAAAGTGTTGCGCTGTACGAATTCAGCATGTCTTCTCCACTCTGTTTTGTTTTTTCAGTTCTTCAGTTCGTCATCAGTTTCAGTTTCAGTTTCAGTGGTAGAGGGAGAAAAGGAAAAAAAATGTTCGTCCACAGTTGCCCGAAAAGGCCAGGCCCATATAGAAGTTAGGCAGGGCCAAATAAAACATATCCAGGCCCATTGATAAAAGAAGTGTAGCTAGTGCAAAAAAAAGTGCAAACGGTCATTGACATCGATATATCTTTTCGGCTTTAGGTTATTTCACAAATGTTAAGTTTCCTGCCTTCACCTTTTTTTAGATAACTCATCTGATAATTATTTGAGCTATTTTTATGCATAAGCTATCGTGTCCGATTGTAGGGTCCCGTGTTGTTTCGGCTAAAACAAAAGGTTGGTTCTAGTTAGCAGTCTAACTTGCAGTCTTTGTGAACCAAAAAAGTTGCAATTGTTTGGTTCTAGTTTATTTCAACCAAGCACCATTTTTTTTATTTGTGCTATGGTGTTTTCAAAGTTTTTACTCGTGTGTTTCAACCGAAAAAGGTTGCGCCACTTTCAAAAAAAGAAGACATCTAGTGTGCCCCTAGTAGCATCTCCTTACAACATAGAGGGGCATCCCCTTACAACATATAGTGCATAAAACATAAAAGGAAGATAATTAACTAGACACGTGCTAACAACAACTTATATGATTGGATCATGTTTTAGTGCATTTTTTTAGTTCATATGGCCACATAAATAAAATGCAATGGAGAAACTTTGAAAACACCATAGCACAAATAAAAAAAAGATAGCACTAGCCCGAAAAAACATTAATAGATAGCACGATAGAGGGGCATCGGGTACCCTAGTAGCATAGATAGATAGAACATATAGAGGAGCATCCCCTTACAACATATAGTTCATAAAACATAAAACTAGATAGATAGAAGACACGGGCACACACGCCCGAACCAACACAAACACAAGCTAGATAGATAGAAAGACTCGCACTCGAACAACTCCTTGGCCCCTCCTCCTTAGCCGGCGCCCCTCACTCGTTGTTCTCCGGCATCTGGTAGGGGAGGGTGTGCATGCCGTTGGGGTGAGGGAAGATGTGGTGGAAGTTGGTGAAGATGTTGTAGGTCGTGAACACGATAAACTCGCATCCACACCAGAACACCTGGCCGAGGAGGTGGTGAGCGTCGTAGGGGTTGGTGAAGGTGACGTGGAGGCCGATGACGAGGCCGTTGGCGTTGCCATCGTACTGCTCGTGGAGGTGGAACATGGGCGGAGTGCCCGGAGGGAGGTGGCGGTAGCCGGCTTGGAGGAAGAAGCGAGCCAACTCTCTAGGGCCCCTCCACCTTGAGACGGCCCACACCCTCAGGCTATTCTCGACGATGACTCCGGCCGGGTACTCCCTCTCCGGCACGGTGCGAGGGCGACGGTAGGTAGGGCCGTTGAACTGCAAGGTGGCTCGAGTGGTGGATTTGGCTCGAAAAGAAGAAGCGGGGAGGCTTGAGAGATGGGGGAGATGAGTGTGAGAGGGATGAGGAAATGGTGCCCTTTTATAGACGCGTTGCAGCCGTGGTCAATGTGTACACGGTGCCTTCTCGATCGTTTTCTCTTCTCCGTTCATACTGGCATAGAGTAATTGCGGGCATTAATTCAAAAACGGCGGGCAGAGCATCCAAAGACGCACCGGCGGCACAGGCGAGATGCATCGTTTCGTGCACTTGCATCGGCGGTGACACCGCATGGGAAATAGGCCCGTTCATCCACGCGTGACACTGAAAAAGGAGCTGCACCACCGACGCGTCCGTCCCGTGTCTCAGGTTCAAACATGCATTTGTTAAAATAGCTAGGATGCGACGTACCTATACGCTGCGCCCCTGCCGTGCTTTACTGCATCGATGCGTGCATGCAAGCCCGCGCCCTTGTCGTGCTTTACTGCGTCGATGCGTGCATGGGACAGAATAGCTAGGCTACGACGTTGCATGGCATGCATGGGACAGGGACGGCCCACATGTCATTGACCCTCTCGCATGCAGCCCATCCCCCCTCTCGACGGCCGTGCGCACGCACGCCAGGCTCTGCCGGGCCCGATCCGCTCGGCCCAACGGTCACTGAGATGCTCCCCCGCTCAACGTTATCTGTTCGTCAGAGAGAAAAAACGGTGGCCAATCAGATTGGAGAATCCTTCTAGAAGGCCTATCCGACGGCCGCAGTTTGGCGTTAGGGTTAGATCGACGGTGGACGTTTGGCGCTAGGGTTACATGGGTTTTGGAGGCAGTCAACGGGGTTTTGAAAGGTTTGACCGAACAGTCAAATGTGTATAACTAATTCAAAAAAAATCTAAAAAATGAAAAACCTGCGCATGTAGTCTTTTTATGTTACATAGTTACGATATAAAATGATAAACTTGATCTAATGATCTTTGCATGAAAAAACTTTCACAAATTGGACTATCTCGACTAAGGTTGCATAGAGTTCAAAGGAGTGAGAAGAGTGTTTGAGGTTTTGAAAATGCAAAAAAATCAAAAACCTCACCTTAGCTTCATTTTGGAGTGACTAAGGAGGATCTGAAGTTATTTTTTCATTTTTAAATTTTTAAACTTGTTTTATTGCTGACTTTGTATTAAAGGGTGTTTTTTCAAAAATAAATTAAATAATATGAATACTTATTCAAAAAAGGTGAGACTTCGTATTGATCCTATATAGGTATAATATAAGCTAAGAAAATCATTTTGGGTGATTTTGAGAAGGTCGAAAAAAACTTGCTTAGAAATGGGGCCGTTTTCCCTTACTTTGGAGCCTGTTTGGACAACATTTTCAGTGACTATGAGTTGGACTTCACAAAAAGGGTTGGATTTATGAACTAAAGTGCATAGTAGTACATAAAACAATGCAACATCACAGAACAAACAAATGAGCCCCAAATATATTGGAGATAGGTTCAAATTTGAATCTCGGTTC